GACATGGCTGCACAAAGTGCTGAAAATGATCTTTTTGTCTCTGGTGTAAGAAATGAGGCATATACCATTGCTTCATCTTTGAGGGCTGTAACCAGTTCTATGGCTTTGGTTGATGGAGTCCAATTGTTCATTTCCGCAATCAGTTCAAATTGCATCACATATGCGTTCCATGGATCCTTTCCGTTATAGAATGGCACTCTTGTTCTGCGTCCATTATCATTAAGTCTTGGAACTTCTGATGTATTGATATACTGTGGTCTACTGGGATGCTGCATTGGTAACAAGTTTGGCTCTGTGATTGGTTGATACTGTTGGAAATTTCTATTTTGAACTGGATATTGTGAAAAATTACTGTTCGGGGCTTGATTTTGTATACATCGGCTATTCTGTACTGTATTTTGCGAATAGTTACTTCTTTGCATTGTATTATGAGGATAGGTGTTGCTCACAAATTGACTCTGAGTATAAAAGTTCTTGTTAAGAACTGGATTCTGTGAAATGCTGCTGCTAACAATATCCTGGTTTACATGGCTATGGGTACCAGCATATACATTCGGCTCTATATACTCTGTTGACTGGGTAATTGTGTTGACCAGATTTTGATTAGGGTTTGTTTGACTTGAACTTGGTATCTGAAAGCTGTTTTGTTTGGCTGTTCTCTTTAATTCAAAATTTTCATTCTTTAAGGCATCTAATTGTCTTCTTAATTGTATGAGCTCATCACTATCAGAATTGGTTGATCTTGAAATTAAAGCGCTATCACTTCGACTTTGAGTTGGAACAAGGAACGGATTAGTGTTATTCTCAATTTCTTTACTTATAGCAGGTAAGTTGATAGTATGATCCATGGTACAAGGATTTTCATCAGTCAAATGAGTTATCTCCCTTTCTCCTTCATTAATTGAAGTAGGCAATATATTTGGATACTTATTTATTGTCTCCTCATTACTGAATTCAGGGATATTAAACCTTGCATTAAAATAATCATAAGAGTTTCTAGATTCCCCTGAAAAATGGGCCTCCATATTCCCAGATGATATGGCATGGTTGGGAATGGCTAAACTACTTGGTGGGTTTATTCCAGATCCCCTTCCTCTTTCCCTTCCTAAAGACATTGATCCCGTAGACATACTAGGTTGTCTATTTCTCAAATTATACATCCTAATTTTGACTGCTAAATGGAATCAAGAGTTTCAATTTACTAATCAACTTGGATTAAATTTTATCCTTGTTGAAATTGATAAAGAATTTCCTATGCCTTACTTTTAAAACACAATTTGGATTATGAATCTATCCTTACATTGTGAAATAGACTATATACATTACAAACTTGAAATAGACTATAGACGTTCAACTTTGACCTTAATGAAATATAACTACAACTTAGATTTATATTTATCCTTGTTGTAAAACTTATTTTGTGAAATGTACTATTTAATTTACAACTTCGAAATAGACTATAATTTTTTTTTTTTAAACTTCGACTCTATCGAAAAATTATTATAACTACAACTTGGATTTATATTTATCCTTGTTGTAAAAAATAAGCTTATGAAATGGACTATTTAATTTACAACTTTGAAATAGACTATAAATTTTACAACTGGACCCTATTGAAAAAATTATGGTTTTAATATTATTATTCAACTTGGATTCAGATTTATTCCTGTTAAAAATAGACTCCTAACTTTAAAACTCAACTTGGATTAAAGTTTATCCTTATTGAATATGGTATTCAATATTAATCTAGCTCAACTTGGATTTTATTTTATCCTTGTTGAAATTTGACTTAAAATTTTTTATCTTTTAACATTCAACTTAGATTAGAATTTATCTTTGTTGATGTATACCCCTTAACTATTTTATTTCAACTTATAGATTCATATTTATCCTTGTTGATATATACTCAAATTTAATAATTATAACCTTTTCAACTTGGATTAGAATTTATCCTTGTTGACATAGATTTTGATTAACTATATTATTTCTTTTCAACTTTGATTTATATTTATCCTTGTTGAATTTAAAACTACTGAAAGATATACTATAAGCTTAATTAATCTCACCAACTGTACTTTTCTTTTCTTTCATCTTTTGTTGAAGTGTCCTTTTTTATTATGTTCAGTTTTTTTTTAAGTGTAAACAAATATGGACAGTAACAATGTAAAATATTTTTACTTATCAATTGCGTGCCTAATAAAATATTCACGTAGATTCTTAAAATTTTCTTTAAAAAGAAAACTAAATTCGCTGCCACCAGTGTAAAGATTGTTCTCAATCTTTCTTACAATACCTTTAGTCTGTAGATATTTATTCTATTCAATAGCTTTTCGAAATACATTAGCCAGGTTTTCTAAATAAAATAACAACTAAACTACTATTTTAAGAAATAGAAATTATTATTATTACTATAAATTACTACAAAGAATGAAAGTACAATATGTTTAACGGTTTTCTGTGATTTTCGTGCGTGAAGTATTTACCTATTAAGTTTCTGTAAAGATGAGTTCAAATTCGTTTTGCTATTCGGAAAATCCCCTTTTTATAATACTTATCACGCCTTATCCTTGCGCGTAAGAAAATAGGTCGCTACTGGTCAAGGTTAATCATATAAATCACTGTCAATACATACGTAAATATTGGATTATAAAGAAAGCAATCACGATTTCATACGTCTCGACACCGATTTATCAATATAAAGCATATAAATACAAGTAACTAAAAAAATGTAGGATTAATAACAAGTTAGAAAACAAAGATGTTATTCGAATGCCACATGTTGGCGGAATTTCGTAACGCTAAATCGGCAACTGCCAATTTTGCCGGGAACGACGTTACGTTAACACAAAGGTAAAACCGCGTTATTGAATGTTTACAACACCCAATATTGACCACCTACAATATATAAGAAAAATATGCACTTCGTTAATTTTTTTCTACGTTTTGCAGAAATATATATTAACATGAAGATATATAAAACATTTCTCTGTGCATAATTTATATATCTAGGTTTTGGGATTAATACATTGAATTTATGTATCTTTTAGTCCCAGCTAGGTGGAAAGATTTGCTCTCATTGTGTAATCGATGTGATAAATTTGGTACGCATTCTTTTTTGTCTTTTTTAAGCAGGGTTATTTTTTTTTATCGATGACGTCATATCGGTTATAACTGACCAAAGGTATAGACAAGGATTTGTATTTTCTTACTGTTATATTCCTGCGTTGGTGCCAGAAGCATCGAATTGGAACAAAGAACGATAACTCTCTCTACATGACCCATCCGAAAAGTTTCGTCACTCTCGTTAAATCTCGTACGATTATTTTATTTTAATGGCTGCCAAATTCTCGTTTTAATCGCGCACTTGAAAACACGGGACCAGAGACATATAATGTATTATATGTCTCTGACGGGACATAACAGAACAAATTCGATGTTAGATACGACATGAATTTTTATTTGTATACAAAAACAAGAATGAGCAAATTTTGGTAACTTGTGTAGATTTAATTGTACCACGGAAATAACCGAAGTTTTGACGAACAAGTAACCTTAAACCTATCTTACTTGATGTTTATCGTCTGCTTAATAAATTTTAAAAATAATTACAGGTACTTCATTTAAAAGTCATAATATCGTAATGAATGATCACATTTATAGTATAAAAGTTCCGTCCAGCTATGGGAACATAGAAAAACCCTCTGCAAGCAATAATTTTCGGGAGAAACGTAAGTCATATGCAGAGGTATCATGTAGTAAAATCCGGCGCTCTGGTTGACCATGCAGGAAACTGGGAATACAATATGAACACCCAGCTAATTTCGAAAATGAAAATAATTTAACAAACAGAAAGCGTCGTTTGCAATACAAAATTAAAAAAACAGCTACAACTTTTAAATATTAATGAAAAATATATTCCAAAACCTCCACCTCTTCGTGAAAATCAACAATTTAATAAAGTTATGGATTGTATTCGTAGTTTTGAAATTAAACAAATATCTTATATTGTTTTAAATTTTGTTATATTTGCAAAGAAAGAAAAACGGATATGAAAATGGCACAATTAAGATAATGAATGTAAGCATTGTCATTTAGATAAATCACCACTAAAATGATTTTCAGCAGAAAACAATATGGACCCTTAACATATTCCATCTGAACTTGCCGATTTAACTGGAGTCTGTTGTTGAACAACTTATAAAATTATGTAGAATCTCACATTATATAAATGTTCACATGTTAGATCGTGGGGGTATTGCTTCTGGTCGGCACTGTGTTACTTTCCCACAAGAAGTAAATGAACCAGCCAAACTATTTCCTTGACTTCCTTAGGAAATTAATATTATTCGTGTTCTGAAGCAGGGCAAAAAATGGAACATCTAAAGATTTTGTAGTAAGAAGGTTAAAAATACAAATTGCAATTTGTTTTTTTAAACAGTACAATCCAGCTTATTTTGACAGTATTATGATTAAAAAAAGGTTAACTGCATTGTCTATTGATGGTGAACTGTCAGATATACAAACAGTTGAATACCAAGCCAATACTGTTCATATTTCTGACAATGGCCCTGCCCCCTGATCAAACAGACCCTTGCGAAATAGAAGGTAATACACATGCAAGTGTAATTTTGCCTGACCCCACATATTGATATCAGGAAGAAAGAAGAGGAAAATTCATTTGTTGACAGTTCTGTTTTGGGGCATTGGAAAGTTTAAGATATAATAGTGATAGTCTAAACTTGAAAATATCACTCAACAAGACTTTTTTTTAATTTTACACAAAAACTATATATGTAGGGACATAATGAATTATTGGCTTGGTTAGCTCTCATTTAAGGTAGCGCCTTCCTCGTATTACAAATGCTTGGTATAGATAAGTTCTGCGCGTATAAATATTGTAAATGGGAAATCTTTAATTGAGAAAAAAAACCTCGTCGGCAGAAGGCACCGAGTTCGGATCTGTTATACAGGTTTTCAGATAATTTAAACATACCGGAAATGTCAAAAGACGGAAGCGCGGAATTTTAAAACAGAGAAACACGAAGAAATGACAAGTGAAAATGTCGATGATTATTTCAGTATTAGTGACATTCTTACAACACAAGAAAGATTGCCATGCAAAGTTGAACTACCTATTTACAGATTAGGCAAGAACACCGCAAATATTCCTTCACATCAAACCTTTTGGTGTTATGAAAAAAGAGGGGGGGGGGATATTACCTAGCCTGTGATCCTGGCTCACTGTTCTACAGTAGACGCAAATAGGAGATTATGCCAGGATCACAGGCTTTGAGTTATTCTGATATAGATGGCCTTAATCCCCCAAAAAGGTTTTATCTTTTTGAAACCCCGAGTGATCCATGAAATTAAAAATGTATTTAGGACGAATCCCTGATATCTCGGCCTATAACTAAATCAGACTATAACAAACTCGGCCTATAACATAATAGGCCTCACAAAATCGGACTTTAACAAACTTGGACTACTAGAAGAATATATAAGTATGATGTTGGATGTTGTTTTCTTTATTGAAAATTAATTATCAATACTTAATTTGCAATTAATTAATTATGCTTTACAATTAATTAAATAATCATTTGAACATTTTAGAAGCGAGTCATATAAATTACGTTAACAAGATATGTATAAAAAGAAAAGAATAAATTCTTTTAATAATGAAAATCTACCACTTATCTGTCTTTTCTGTATTATTATTTGTATGTCCCTCTCAAAATAATTTATCATATGCATATCTTATATGATTGAACTGGGAATATGACATCATGCCGAGTGTACGTGTATCGTTGACAACTTTTTAATCACCTGAATTTAAACGAACAACTGGCACATGTACTGTTGACACCTATTTAATCATCCAAAGTGAGAACAAACTACCTGTAATTACATGAAATTGTAATTAACTAAATATTACAATTTCTTCGAATTAGCAGCTTGTGTATAACCATATATAGATATCTATGGTATGACTGACATTTTCATGTTCTTTTTTTTTTTAGTTTGATTACAATTCTTATGTAATTATAAGACAGTGTAGTGAACTATATGTTTCTGATCATACTTTTATTGGTTGAATCCCAGTGGTTTGTGAGAAAAGGAAATATCTGTTGTTTTTTCAATTTTACTCCACATCTATTTTGAGAAATATGTATAATAAATGAAATATGTATAAATATAGTTACTTTTCCATTAATAAAGAATTACAGATAAGTGAAATTGTAAAGAAGCTATTCACTGTCAATCAAATTTCTCTTTGTTTGTATACTAATTATAATGAACACCAAGGATTAAACACAATACAAACATGGACACACGCCAATCATTAAAACATCTTTTGTCAATAAACATAACAAACGAGAACATCACAATAATATTTCAAATAGAAGTTAATTATCCTCATTCAAAAATATCAAATTCAACTCATATAACACATATTTCAATGATGGATCTAAATTTATTTTAAATAATACATTTCTTTATATTGTTTTTTCAAAAATATTTATCATTTTCTCATGAATTCGTATATAATTTTTTATATATAAAGTTTTTTTTTAAAAGTCAGAAAAAAAAATGTTAACAATTCAGTATACTAATCGTAGTCTGAGTTTCTTCGATATGCATATAAATAGTGGTAGGCCGAGTTTGTTATAGTCCGATTTTGTTTTAGTCCGAGTTTTCCAGCAGCGTTTCAGACAATTTTTTCTGTCTATGAATTAGCCATAAATGCAACAAAATATCTTTCATATAGAGTATTGCCAGTCTCCTCTACGTATATAGATACGTCACAGCCTTGCTTAATTTATGCATACACTTAGTTACATCACAAGAATTCAGGAATTGGAAATTTTATCAGTAATAAGGTATAGGGGCATCTCCAATTATATTGTCGGGTAACTACAAAAAACACCATGAGTGAAAGTTTTTTTTATAAATACCTGATCATCTATGAGATGCCCCTATACCTGATAATTGATAGAATATCTGATTCCTGTGGTTACATGTAACAGTATTAAATCTAGTTTGTAACAGTCAGTATTGTGCACAAACATCAGCTAAATTCATTGCTACATTTGTAATTTGTTACAAGAAACTGACAGTGTTCTCCCCAGGATTTTTTTAAGGCGCAAAATTCAAGGGCACATAACTCTTTTTTTAGAGTGAACGTTTGTGATCTGAAGCAATAAGTCATAAATCATGACATGCAGTATGAATTATAATGCTTTGTGTTATGTGTTTAATAATGCAGAGTATAACTGAATTACAAGAATATACCGTATATGAAATAAATTGATTTTAAACACAAAAGTTATTTATATTCAGTCAAAGAAGTCAAAATATAAATATTCATCTCTACTCTCTGCTCCTTCTAGGGATATTGTTTCAAGATAGTGTTATTTTGTTAGACAGTCTGTTCCTCAACTTTGTCTTTATCCCCTTCAGGGTTAAAAATTAAACCCCACTCACAATAACTTTTGCTTATACCCCCTTTAACATTTCTAAGCCATGAAAACTCAGTCAGCCACTTGTCATTGAAACCAGAAACAGTGTGCTTGCTTTTATCAATTGCTAAAACTTGAGCTTGGTTGGGATTAGGAGAAGCAATGAAATCTGCTTATACTGACAGTGTAGACGGAGGTGTATTCCCCTTTTCATTAGAAGTCATTGGTCTGAAAATAACTTCTACTTCCATCATCTACCTTTTGCTTATAATTCACCCTTTTGTTATTTGCAGAGAACATGTTCATTCAGAATTAATAAAGACGAATATGGTTAAGATATTTGGTATAGAACTTTTTAAAACAATTTATTTTTATAAATGAACAGCTGACCAGTTTCCGAAGTTTCACATTACACTTCCGTGCGTATTATTGTTTAATCCTATCTTTGGCAGATAGATATAAACGAAACTTTACAAATTCGTTAAAGTTAAAACCATTGAAATTATTTACCAGTGACATTGTACAGAAGCTGCGGCGATTCTGTACCTGTGTTGATTGTCACATATTTCCTGACGCACGGATTCACGATCGATGTTCAATGATCATTTTATTTCTAAAAATATGACAGTTTCAGACGAATTTACCTTGCAAGCAACATTTTTTCACTTTCTATTACAGTAAATCACTCCTCGTTATCTTTAATCAAACTTTATTTTAATTTTTTCAACTACTAATACTTTCATTCATAGTTTTCATCGTAAATATCTTTAGCAATGTGTATTCAAATTTATTATGTGTATTCAAGACGTTCATTGGTCTGTTTAAATAGGTTCTTCTTCTCGACCAATGAAAAAATTCATTATATAAATGGTCAAGTGATCACACACACGATGCGTAAATACAATGTATTTGCGATCTATTTCTTCAATTTCTGCACTGAAGTTTTTAAAATTTTTAATTTTCTTCAAAAAATATCTATCTTCTTGATGATCATTTACGCTATTACCTGATAACATAGTCCGATAAGGCTGAGATAAGCGTGGCTCAGGCAGAGACATATATACACATATATGTGTATATATGTCTCTGGCTCAGGTAAAACTAATTATCAGTTATTGCGTAACACTGACCGACTCATCAGCGGTGATCGGTAACTTGACAATTTTAACCAACATTTATAAAAAATGTGAAAATTAACACGCTGCGGGATCAAGTATTAAGGGACAGCGGCCAATTAAGACGCTGCGGGATCTACAAAAATATTATGAAGGCGCTGCGGCACCGCAGCGTCATATCAGCCTGGGGAGAACACTGATATTATTATTTAACTGGACCCTGTTACTCTAAATTTTAATTCAAAGGGTCACTCCATAGGTGATTAAGGTTTATCTGGACCTTTATTATATTTAGACTAAATGACACAAAATTTACTCTGAGTGCAGACAAACCTGTGTAGCAGGAGACATTTTTTAAGGCATGGCATGCATGACCTAGATGTATAACTTTCAAATGCTTTTTATCGTTCAGAAAATTAAAAACTTAACTGGATTTTGCTGTGCACTTTTTTTCGTCCACTCAGAAGATGATAAAATAAATAATTGATTGGTAATGTTTTCAAATATTCAATGTATACATTGTACATGCACAGATTGACAACAATTTCAGGCCATATTTACTCCATCAATAATGAAATGTACAAATCTATTTTAGGTTACCTTGATAGCAGTTCCACTAGTGATGATTTACAGCCAGGAACCAAACTGGATTTGTCGTTCTGGATGGCTAGAGCTTTGTGTAGCAGGAAACGTCATATTGTCAGTGTAGAAATGCCACGACCATATAGAGAAGGTTATCGGGAAATATTAACAGCAGATGCAAATGTTGTTGATCTCCATAAATTAGGACCCTATTATTATAGCTATGGGTCACAGTTACTGAAGTTTGAAATGCCAGAAACTGCAGATGTAGCTAAAAGTTTAATAAAGGTATACTGTACATAGAAGACAGGGAACATATGCACTAATGCATAAAAACATATTTCCAATTTTCAAAGTTAACTGGTTTTGCTGATATTCCAAGATATATACATTGTAGTAATTGTATTTAAAGAGGATGCAAAATAGAAATATAATTTTCTCTGTAAAAGTCCACAGACACTACACCTCATGAACATAAGGAGTTTTTTAGATACAGTTAACCTGCAGAAAGGGAAATCTATATTAAAATACATGTATATACATGTATATCACTGTCTATTTAGAGTTTGAAGTAGTTGAATTTAGGGCTAGGTATTTTTTAGTTTGTTGGTTTATAGATTTTTTATGTGAAAAAGTCCGGTCGGTCAGTCAAAAATTTTTTTTTTTAAATATCCAGACATAAATATGTACATGTATAGAATAAATATATATTTCAGCTTACTAATAATATTTTTGGTATGCTTTTTTGTCATTATTTCTTAAATTTTAGTTCCAAACATTACTGCTCAGCTGTTGTAAACATACAATGCATGCGGCTTGCCATCGTCATATAGGTTTGTAAAAAGGGGTCAAACATAAAAAAAAGCTATACATTGCTTTTTATCAACTTTAAGGAAACATGGTGAATAATGATCATGAGCTTCATGCATGAAAACACATGAATTAAAATTTGCAAACATGTGGCTTGAAAATAACACTACCATTGTTTCATAAATAAAGTAAACCCTTCCAAAGGAAAGACAAGGGTATCCGTTTCATCCTTTCGCAGAAAAAAACGCTTTTGATATCCAAATGTACAATATAAAATTGAGAATGGAAATGGGGAATATGTCAAAGAGACAACAACCTGACCAAAGAGCAGACAACAGCCGAAGGCCACCAATGGGTCTTCAACGCAGGGAGAAAATCACGCACCTGGAGGTGGTCCTCAGCTGGCCCCTTAATAAAATTGTGTACTAGTTCAGTGAAAATGGACATCACACTAAACTCCAAAACATATAAATGAACTAAAATTAAAAAAACATACAAGACTAACAAAGGCCAGAGGCTCCTGACTTGGGACAGGCGCAAAAATGCGACGGGGTTAAACATGTTTTGTGAGATCTCAACCCTCCCCCTATACCTCTAGCAGTTTTTTAATCTATGAAACAAGAACATTTCGAATTGTTTGTGGATACCCGTTACCGGGTAGGTTTAATTTGACGTCTTTCACATTTGGACGGGTCCTTTTCATCTATGAGATGAAAAATCGTACGTAATTATGAATAAAAAGGAGAACAAACTAATTGTAATGAGCTTTTATTAACATTGGTTTAGTTCCGCAAAATTATTTGCGCAAACAAAATTTCAAGTTTCTAGTTTAGAAACACAAAAATCAGTCAGGGGTACTACTTTCCTAGTTATTTTTATTTACTTAAAGAAGTAAATATAAATGCATGTATACTTATACATGTTATATTTAAGTAAAATTGTAAGATACTTATACAAGTTTATTTTATTTAAATGTATAGTTAAATTATTTTAATGGCTTAGTTATGTCCCTTAGACATTCAGATTTTTTAACTTATACTAGTAAAAAAGTCATACTATCTTCTTTTCTTGAATTTCTCAAGAATCCTTTGCTCTAATAGAATTTTTAATTGTCTGTCCTTTGCAGATGTCTTTACTAATCATGAAATCATTGAAATGTCAATTGTTTTTTTGTAGTTCTGAAATCGGAAAAATAGGGTGACCCAGTTGGAGATCCATAAATCAACAAATTTAAAAAACCTGGCCTAAGACTATTTCATATATATAAAAAAGTATTCTTTCTTTGTAGTCATTGGATTTACTGTATGCAAGAAAGAAAAAAAGAATATACAGCAATTTTCTTTGTTGGCATATACATGTTTGCCTATGTATTTATGTTATTCTAAGAAGTTTTAAAATTTATATGAATTATGTTTCAGATGTACATGTAAACAAAAGGGAAATGTTTGAAAACATTTAAATAGAAAGCAACTCAATAACAAAATCAAATAAAAAAAATCACCCAAGTTACATGTAATAACTAATTGGAATAATTCTTTTTTTTCCAGTGTTTTCAGACAAGGATAAGGAAAATCATGGACTCATCTCAAAATGCTTATAATGAAGACACTACAAAGTTAACAGAGAAATTAGACGAGACGGAGAAATGTTTGTTTAAAGCAGGACAAATTGGACTCAATGATTTTCAACGATGGGAAACCCGACAAACAGAAAAATTAACAACATCAGAAATGGTTAGAAGTCATAGAAAACGTAAAAGAGCTCTAATGGATGATTCATGACCAAAATTTTTATTTTTTTGTTTAATTTGTTTTATAATGATTTTAAATCAGATGTACATATTCAATCTTTTCTGTCTGACAGTTAAAGAATCTTACTGACATTATCATGATTATTGAAATATGCATCCGTGGTGAAAATTAAAAAAAATTGTCAGTATGACATTGGTCTCCAATCAAGTTTCTTTTAAGCATGTGCAATAGTATTGCTTGATAGCTTCATTGTAGTCTGTTAAGTCTTATTTCATTTGTGACCTGTCTGGCTTCCATAACTAATAAAAACTGGCTGCCAAGTTATGGCCAACAGTGCTGCAAGTGGCTTTAAACACCAACAATCAATCATTTGTGAGCTTTAAATGCATGGCAACAAAATAGTTGATAATGTATAAAGTTGTTTATGATGTTATGGGTATAAATTCCTACACATGCAAAATGGTCTTAAAGTGTTGAAAAAAAAAATATTTGGACTTAATTTTTAGTGCATTTATGGGAATTACAAGTAATTGAGGTTATTTTTACGGATTCTATTGATATTTAATCCAAGCCTTTCACTTAACATTAAGGTATGATTGTATGTGGATGGCCGAGTTTACACCTTAAAATTACCTTTACATAACTGTATTAATACCTGATGAATATTGAATGGAAGGAGAGCTATAAGTTGATAGTTTTAAGTTTTCCACTCCCAACACCTCATCCATGAAAAACAAATTCTTTGATGTGTGTTTCATAAAGCAATTAATATATCTTTTTAATCATATACAATGATTGCCTTCACTGGAAAGATATAAGACTTAATTAAAGATGCTGAATAATTAAGTTATACTGTAGAAAATTTAATAATTTTATTTAATAAACATGTAGTGGAAATACAATAAAAATGCATTTATTCACAACCCATTGTTTTATTTGATGCATACACTTTGTACTTGATTCTCTTAGTTTTCTAATTGGTGCATATGTTTTATTGATGATTCTGTATTTATTTTTATCAGAATAATTTTTCAAAGAGTTTTGAGATAAAAAAAACAAAAATTCATGCATTTTCTCTTTTTTTGGAGGTAACATATAATTACAGTTCTCTTCAATCAAATTTAGAAATTTTTTTAATTTGAAATTTTAAAGTAATAACCAAAAGCAATGAGTTATAATCTGTGTTATTTATTAGATATGTTAAATCATAAGATACTAACAGCCTGCAACGTTTTGACAGGGAAGTGAAACATAGCGATCCTGTATTCCTTCTTCTGCATCGTCAACATTTAGGTTCAGTCTGTAGTTAAAGATTTTTGAGACATCAATATCTTTTGTCAAACCTTCATGAAACTTTGACAGAAGTAAATTTATAATAAATATAAATCAATTGTTTTAAAAACTATTGTTAAACGGTCTTTCCCCTCCGAAACATGATTAATTGGTTTTTTGCTTGGTTGGTTGGTTGGTTGGTTGGTCGGTCGGTCGGTCGATTGATTGATTGATTGATTGATTGATTGATTATTTGATTGATTGATTGCATGGCACTTTCTCTGTGCGACGCAGCTAACTTAAATAACGCCTATATTCTGACCGAACGTGACTGCATACTTAGACATCCTGCACAGCCAAACGGACGCCTGAGATGTCCTCATAAAAATTGATCCTAGCATCATTCGTTTATAAATTTTCTCTAGTTTCTATGTTACCTCGGACTTCCATTTGTCATCTATTTGTTGTGTATGCATTTGGATTGAATTTGTAGGAAAACAGAGTAAATTTTATCTTGAAAGTTTTATTTTCCTTATTTGGATATGCAATGTTTTATTCTAAATTTAGGTCCACGCGCGAGATGGTGTTGTGAAGTCACGTGACCCTCGAATATATATGTCTGGAGTTAGAATATTAATTTCTTTTCAGGGGAGACCGTTGAACAGAGCACATGTGTATTGATCAAAGAAACACGATAACTATTGTTTTTATTTTGTACAGGTCATTGATGTCGGATCATGCATACTATTATGTACACATGTTTACGGGAGCACAGATTTGTATTTTAATGCATGTTTAGAAATTTGAGTGTAGGATTTCAGTAATACATTGATTTTAATTTCGCAATCAAGAGGACCGCACGTGCCTCATCAATTAATTTCAGAAAATACATGAATTGGAGCAGATTTTTGCAGGGATGGATTTCTATTTCAGAAAGAAATTTGTACATAAGAAGGATTAGCATTTTACAGTATAATGTACGGGACTAAAAGCGATCTTCTTTTCTTTGAAATGGGATAACTTAAAAAAAAAATCAGTTGAAAAAAAAGGGGGGGGGAGTGTAGTGGTAGACTGTGGTTCATTATTGAGATAAGAAACATTTACAACATGATAGCTGCAAAGTTTGAAGTTTTGATAAGTAATTTGTTGATTCGACCATAACAGGGACATTGACCCTGCAATAAAATGACGCGTACCATTTCGACAAAAAATTTCTAGTAAACACTTGTCGCGACAAACTTTTTGGTTAAATTGTTTTGTCGATATCTATAACTCTTTCTAGGAAGAAGCGATATGAACCTAATGTAAAAAATCTCAACATGACCTTGACCTTTGACCTTGACTTAGTTTTCTATTCTTTAGGACCAAGGACCTCAAATCAACAGACCCTAGGTCTCTATCACTTATGGTTTACCAGTTACAAATGCATATCACTTATTTCAAATGCATTAGGGGAAATAACTCTCATATGGAGTCTTCGTATCGCTTCCGTCAAAATTGGACAAAAAATCCTGAGGATATAGCGAGCCATTTGGTAAAATAAATTTGTCGCTTTCTTTTACGGTTACGGAGGAGATGCAGTCACAAGGAAAACAGTGTTCAGGGAGATAACTCCTACAAAGAAAATTGTTCGACTTAGAATGGGTGGAAATAAAAAGCGCATAAACTGTATGATACTATATAAGAAATATCTAAGCGACATCTTGCGAAACAAAAATTTTACGCGAGAACAAAATTAGGCGGAAGAAAAAAATAATAATAATAATAATAATAATAATCAGAACAAATACAATAGGTCTTTCCACAGAAAAGTGGAAAGACCTAATAATAAAAAAAGACAGTATTAAGAGTTAAATTTTGAAAATATTTATTTTCATTTTTCAGTATTTTTTTACAGTTAACTTCAAGGCCAGAGGTTTTTAATTTGTTGTTTTACAGATTTTTTATGTGAAAGATTCAGACAGGTCAGTCAGGGAAAAAAAAATAAAATATCTGTATAGAATTACTGTGTACTTCAGCATTATTACAATATTTCTGTTCTCCTTTTTGTCATCCTTCCTTAGATATTAGTTAAAAAAAATTTCCCCTGTTTTTAACAGAAAATACATGTCATTGTCATATAAGTTTGTAAATAGGTGGGTTATGTGCATTTACACACGGGACATAAAAAGTCATTTCACCATAAACAAAAAATTTTAAAAATAATTATACATTGCTTTCAATCAATTTTCACAAAACATATAGAAAAGTATATGAAAAAAAATTGCAAATACGCTGCAGGAAATAACAGATTACCACCAGTGAAGAAGACCTGACATGGATATTGGTTTTGTCCTTTTTGCCAGGTACATGTTACCTTGCTATTGATATCCAAATGGAGGAAAAAATTACATACAACCCAAGAAACCAGAAAATTTCAAATTGTTTGTCATGTTTGTGGTCATCTTCTGTTAATTATAACTTACTGACTTTCCTGTTTCGATGGGTTCATTTCATATATGAGGATAAAACAGCTTATCCCAAATTTGTTCAAAATTTTTTTTAAGGAATTATGACAAAAAAGGAAAATGATCTTATTGCAAATAAAAAAATGAGGAGATGTGGTACGATTGCCAATAGATAACTATCCACCAGAAGTTGTAGTAAGCAATAATAGGCCACCATACAACCATCAACAATGAGAAAAACCAACACTGTATGAAAGGCAACCCCCCCCCCCCCCCCCCCCCCCCCACATAAAAAAATGTGAAACAATTCAAACAAGAACACTAACAGCCTAATTTATTGCAAAACATTATACTACAATTAAATATGACAGACACGAAGCTTTGCTCATTTTATTCACTAAAAAGAGATAATCCGTCTAAAGAACATTTTAATGTTAAATGTTTGATTAGATCAATTTAAGGTAAACGACTTATGTCAATTCAATGATATTTGGTATGCAGTTGTATAAGTATAAAGTAAAATAACAAAAATACCGAACTCCAAAGGAAATTCAAAACAGCCGGAAAGTCCTTTATAAAATGGCAAAATCAAAAGCTCAAACACATCAAACGAATGGAAACCAACTGGTCCGAGAACACAGTTATGGACCTTTGATTTTCGTTGTCTACAAATATTAGTTGCAATTTTTTTTATACCCCTTCCAAATTTATTTCTTCATGTTTTATGCCTTAAATAGCAAGAAGGCATGATTTTTTTATTTTCATTTATTGTCTGAAAGAAATGCACTACGAAATAACTATGTTCTTGGGCCAACTGTCATATTCCTGACTTGATAAAGGCATTTTATTGTGTGGAAAATGGTGGATTAAAGCTGGTTTTATATTTAGCTAAACCTCTCACTTGTATGACAGTCGCAATGAATTCCATTATATTGACAACAATGTGTGAGCAAAACAAACAGACAAAATAAATTAAAAATGTCAAAAATTGAGCCACAGCAGTCAAAATTGAATATAACCTTTGCCGTATTTGGCGCTACTTTTTGTAACTTTTGGTCCTCAATGCTCTTCAACTTTGTACTTGTTTTGGCGTTCGAACTTTTTTGATCTGAGCGTCACTAATGGGTCTTATGTAGACGAAACGCGCATCTGGCGTATTAAATTATAAGCCTGGTACCTTTTGATAGCTATTATTTGTGTGTGTCTCTGTCCTGTATGTTCTCCCATTTATTTGTATTGTAATCTTGTCATGTAATCTTGTCATTTTAATGTTATATTTAACATTGCCATAAAAGCGGGAGGTTTGGCTAGCCACAAAACCAGGTTCAACCCACAATTTTTTCTTAAAATGTTCTGTACCAAGTCAGGAAAATGGCCATTGTTATATTATAGTTCGTTTCTGGTTGTGTTGCATTTTAGTGTTGTGTTTCTGTTGTGTCGTTGTTCTCCTCTTATATTTGATATGTTTCCCACAGTTTCAGTTTGTAACACGGATTTGTTTTTTTCTCAATCGATTTATGAATTTCGAATAGCGGTATACTACTGTTGCCTTTATGTAATAAAATCTTAATCACTATAAAAAAACTAATAACTATTTAAACAAAGAAAAACAAATTGGCACATAAATACTCTAAAAGACAAAGTACATAAGCAAAAATGAAAAGACAACAATACAAAATTGACCATTACACAAATTCCATAACACAATGGCGGGATGTATAAGTACCGAACCACGCCAAAAGTATATTACCAAATATGGACTAAACAGTAAAGGTTTGTCATAGATATACAAGGACAAATAAAAAGAACACTATAACACGCAATTAAGATGATAAACAACGTCAGTACCTAGATTCTATACTTAATGATCATCATGTATTATTTGTGAAGTTGATACCGAATATTTATCAACAAGGTTTTGGTATCTTCCAATGAACTTTTTTAGAAAAAGGACGAGACGTTCTTTGAAATAACCTTGGCTCATCAACTTTCTGCTTAGACACTGATGACGTTATATAAAGTCTGAGTAGCAGCTGCAAGCTCTTGAATACCGAATGAGTTGGGGAAATATTGCTAACTTAAGGTGGGAGAAATTTATAATATCAAAATTAAAATCGTCTCGTTTGTTATAGATTCTGGTACTGAGATGACCGCTTATGTCAAATTCGAGGTTCAAGTCTTAAAAATGAGGCAAAGGAAGCCGT